AAAAATCTATACATACATTGTTATGTGACCCTAGTTGCTCTCCCTATACTGTGACAGCACACTCCTCCTTTCCACCCCGGATTTCCCGTGTCCATTCAACCAGCTCCTGACCCTCTCTGCCTTCTCATCTCTCCTCTGTACAGGAGCTGCCCACTTAGTCTCATGTATCCACTTGAGCTAAGAAGCACACTCTTTACAAGTATCATTTTATGTCCCATGGTCCAGTCTAATCTTTGTCTGAAGAGTTGGCCTCGAGAATGGTTTTAGTTTTGGGCCAACAGAGTTTTGGGCCATGTCTTCCAGGGTCCCTCCAGTCTCTGTCAAACCATTAAGTCTGGTCTTTTTACTAGAATTTGAGTTCTGCACTCCACTTTTCTCCTGCTCCATCAGGTACTCTGTTGTGTTCCCTCTCAGGGCGGTCATTGGTGGTAGCCAGGCACCATCTAGTTCTTCTCGTCTCGGGCTGATGAAGCCTCTGGTTTATGTGGCCATTTCTGTCTCTTGGGCTAGTACTTTCCTTGTGTCTTTGCTGTTCTTCATTCTCCTTTGCTCCAGGTGGATTGGGACCAATTGATGCATCATAGATGGCTACTCGCGAGCTTTTAAGAACCCAGATGCCACTCACCAAAGTGGGATGCAGAACATTGTCTTAATAAACTTTGTTATGCCAGTTGACCTAGATGTCCCCTGAAACCATGGTCCCCAGACCGCCACCCTTGCTACTCTGTCCCTCGAAGTGTTTGGTTGTAGTCAGGAAACTTCTTAGCTTTGGTTTAGTCCAGTTGTGCTGTGGGTCAACAAAACTCCTGATTATTTATGATATATTGAGTGCAAAAATTGAATTAAGATCATCTCTGCCTTCAAAGAATTTAATAAGGGAGGCTGACAGGAACAAATAATTCCAGTATAACCCAGAAGATGTACAGAGTGGTTCTTGGCCCAACTTCAGGGTATATCAGGAAGCGGGGGGAAGATCACAACCATAAGGCTAAAGATAAAAAGCCTTACCATGGCTTCCCAGGCACCTTAACGGCCTCTAAGACATGGGCTTTTCAGTTCCTTAAACTGCTGCTTTCCTTCCTGCCTTAGGGCTTTTTTACCTGGTAATCCCTCTGTAATCCCCCCCATTGTTTAGGTAACTCCTACTCATCCTTTAGACCTCAGCCAAATATTTCCTCAAAGATGCCTCTCCCAACCTGCAATCTAAGTCAGCTCCCCTTTTCACACCCCCACATAGCACCCTATACGTTTTCTTCATAGCATTTGGTGATTACTGACTGTTGCCTACTAAGCTGTGCTCCAAGAGGGCAGTAACAAAGTCTGTTCTGCCCAGCATATAGCAGGTGCTTGTATTTATTGAATGACTAATTGAAGGGATGAAAACTGGATGATAAACTGGGCTTTGAAGGGTATGTTGGAGCCTACAGGCAGACGGGGGGGAGGATAAGGATATTTGTGGTGGGGAAACAGGTGAAGCAAAGGCAAAGTGCTGAACCCAGCATGTTTGAGGAGTTCTACAGAGAACTGATTACTAAAGAATCATGTGGGGTTGCGGTACGTGAAGAAAGTTGCAGAAACCAGATCATTTTCAGATTATAATTAGAATTTGTAACTAATTTCATAGTAACTTTAGTTTTAATATGTAATATAAATCAAAATGCTTTGTTTTACCAGAAATTTTTTTTCCAACTGCTTATTAAGCACATAACGCCTCGTATCTACAAATGTTTCAAAGGCTGTTCCTTAGTATCAACAAAACACCCTAAGCATGCCCACATCCAGCGTTAAAGGCTTTGCAAGGGTGTGCTAGATGAATGCCCAGTAGGATCTCAAAGGGCATGCCCCTTCCACATTGATCTGCAGTGGGACAAGTTCACCCTTAACACAATGAATTCAGCTGACCTCTCCTCCTCTGTCACCTAATTTCATAATCCCATCCGTGGCTTGTTTTCTTTGTGATCTCAGAGACCAAGAGAGCAATATAATGCAGCAAGTGAAATAAGAACACCTGAGATAAAGTAAGGGTCTTGAAGTTCAAATCCTTAATTACTGTCTACCTTGGACTTCATAATATTGCCCTTTCAAGTTTAAAAAGGATAATGATAGTTCCAAATGCTCTCTTGGAAAAATATCGCTTACAAGCTGAATTTTAACCCCCAAGAGTATACAATTCTGTGAAGAGACTTAGAATAATCTCAGCCAAATGTATATCACCACAAATCAGAATGGTCTAGTGTTTTTCTCCATTTTTCAAATAAGCACTACCTATGTAGGCCTAGTTGAAATAACTGAACTCATCATGGTTGCCCTAAAAAAACAAAGGTTTCCTTTCCTGGATTTATGATTATCACTATTATTTCTGCTGTCATTACTCCTTTAATAAGTGTTCAGTTTAGTATGTACTTTTCTTTGCCAGCACCATAATTCAAATGCATCAATTCTTCTTTGGCCTTCCTTATTCATCGTCCATTGCCCATGGCTTGGGTCAGGTGCACCTTAGTCCTCAAAGTGATATCTTTTCTTTTTAACACTTTAAAGAGGTTTTTTAGCGAACAAACAAATCTGTTTTAGAAGAAGTACAGCCAGAATGCTGTTTAGAAGGGAAGATGGCAAAATTTCGTCTCACTTACTTTGGACATGTTATCAGGAAGGACCAATCCCTGGAGAAGGACATCATGCTTGGTAAAGTAGAGGGTCAGCAAAAGAGAAAAACCCTCAACAAGATGAATTGACACAGTGGTTGCAACAATGGGGTCAAACATAGCAACAATTGTGAGTATGGCCCAGGACTGGGCAGCATTTTGTTCCATTGTACATAGGGTCGCTGTGAGTCAGAACCAACTTGACGGCGCCTAACAACAACAGTAGTTCTAGGTTCTAAAAAGGATGAGTGTCTTGGTACTTCCAGCTTCTCATTCAAATACACTGTACACGTGTCAAATTAATCTCCCTTCAAAAATTGTACTTATCGAATTAGGTGAAGGGGAAAACAACACACACTACAGAGGAAGCCCGCACAAATGGACTAAACCAAAGCTAAGAAGTTTCCTGAATACAATCAGATGCTTTGAAAGACAGAGTAGCAGGGGCGGAGGTCTGGGGACCATGGTTTCAGGGGACATCTAGGTCAACTGGCATAACAAAGTTTATTAAGAAAACGTTCTGCATCCCACTTTGGTGAGTGGCATCTGGGTTCCTAAAAGCTAGTGAGTAGCCATCTATGATGCATCAATTGGTCCCAACCCACCTGGAGCAAAGGAGAATGAAGAACAGCAAAGACACAAGGAAAGTACTAGCCCAAGAGACAAAAAGGGCCACATAAACCAGAGGCTTCAGCCTGAGACGAGAAGAACTAGAGGGTGCCTGGCTACCACTGATGACCGCCCTGAGAGGGAACACAACAGAGAGTCCCTGATGGAGCAGGAGAAAAGTGGAGTGCAGAACTCAAATTCTAGTAAAAAGACCGGAGTTAATGGTCTGACTAAGACTAGAGGGACCCCGGAAGACATGGCCCCTGGACTGTTAGCCCAAAACTAAAACCATTCCTGAGGCCAACTCTTCAGACAAAGATTAGACTGGACTATGGGACATAAAATGATACTTGTACTACAAATAAGTCCATACTGCATACATAAATTTCTCTCCCTTGTTGTCAAGTCGGCTCCGACTCATAGCGACCTTATATAAAACAGTACAAAATGTTACCAGGTCCTGTGCCATCTTCATGATCGTTGGTATGTCTGAGTCCACTGTTTCAGCTATTATGTCAATCCATCTCATTGTTTCCCTCATTTTCACTGACTCTCCCCTTTACCAACCATGATGTCCTTTTCTAGTAACTAGTCTTTCCTGATGACGTGTCCAAAGTAAGCGTGCCAGGGTCTTGCTATCCTCATTCCTAAGGAGCATTCTCTCCTTTTACTCCCAGGGTTTTTCACCTCTCACTCCTGTGTGCCCTCCAGCCCATCCCTGCATACTTCTGTCTTCTTGGCTCTGTTTCCTTTGAAGTACCCTTCCACCTTTACATCAGTTGGCCAACTCTACCTCTTCCTTCCAGGCTCCTGACATCTCATGCCGCTTCCAGATGCTCCACACCCCACAACCTCTCTCACACTTCAATTGTTTTCATGCCTAGTACACACATGTAACGGAAACAAGTTCCATGAAACAATATTTACTACTGCACTCCAGTATTTTTATCCGATTCTATTCTAAAATTCCTGGCTGAAATCCGTTAAATAGAGTGATTTTATGACCCCATTAACTGATCATGACCCAGAATTTAAAAACTGAACTAGACCATAAGGTCCTCGAGTGTCTTTTGCCTCACCCCCCATTGCAGGGCACACAGTAGGCAGGCACTCAATTACTTGTTACATTGAACTAAACGGAGTCACAAACTCAGGAGTCTGCATGAGGAATATAATTGAAAGAGGATGGATGTCAGAAGAATAGCCCAAGCATGATGATAAATGGTATGTTACCCTCAGCCTCAGTGTCTGAGAGACAATAGGGAGTAGTGGAAACCTTGGCGAACCAGAGAACACAGGCCCTGTCTAAAGGGGACAGCTGCTATTCAACTCCAGACAATTGCTGCTAGCTTGAATGGCCAGTGTTGCCAGATCTTTTGAATGTAGGACAAGTGGCAA